GAACAATGAACTAGTTGTGCCTTATCTTAAGAATTAATTTCTACAACCCAGGACAGAGCACGCTGGCAGGAGGGGCAAGGTTCTGCTGCCACTTCCCATGCTGCATCTACACTAGGGACAGATGAAAAATTGGCATCTGGTGATGCTCATACAACCCATTTCAAGTGAGTATTAAATTAATTCAAGTAACTTTAAAAAAAAAATTTTGTCAACAGCCTGGACTTCTGTTCTCACTGGGCTTTGAAAACCAAAGGGGCAGGGACAGAAATGCCTGCCTTGAACCCCATCTCCCAATGTACCACATGTCCGTGAAACACAAAGAAGCAGTTCAGCTATTGTTCTTTTGTGTTCATTACAGTTACCTGATGGGTTGCACTTATTGAGACTAGAGACAGAATCAAAGTATTCTTTTCCAAGGTAATCTTGGTAGGTCGTCCTTTCAGGGACTTTGATCAAGCACTTGGTGTTGTCTTTGAACAAAAGGTCCTTGGTGTCAGACTGAAACATTTTAAAATGTTGGTTTCCTTTCACACCATTTCCAAAGTGTGCCTAAAATAAAGGAGCGAATGCATAAGTATAGATGAACAGAAGCAAGCAAAAGCTCAGCTGAATGCAGTCAGACTATCTTTACAGCATAAATCTTGAGAAAGTCTCTCACCATCAACAGAACAATTAAAACGCATATACCCCAAAAAGATCATTCTTCTACCATGGACGGGAAAAGAGGAGAAGAATCCAGAAAGTCCACAGTGGGTCTTACCAAGGAAAAAATTTGGAATAAGGTCCAAAAAACAGACTTATTAGGCACCTGAAGTGGACTGAGTACATGCTCTATCATACCATAAAAATGTTTCCCATATCACCTCTTATGAGAGTTGATCTAGTGTCCAATGAAATCAGTGGGCACCCTCTAGCTTTTATGAACCTAGGTTCAGGCTCCAGAAGTCGTTAGAAATGAGATTGCATGGAAAACAGTCAATGCAAAATAGTACCCCAGTTATGTCCTCTTTGTAGCATCATAGACCTATACCTAGTATGTCTTGCTGATACCCTAATGTAACTGCATAGTTGGAGTGGAAAACGTCAGCTGTCAGCCATTGCTGCTTCAGAACCCTGTTCTGTCCATAACTAGGCCAATAAAGAGTATGGTTTGCTGACTACAGCCTTCTCATGAGCACCCACTGACTGTACCTGAGTGACAGGAACAGGTCATCCATTGTTATGGATCAAAACACTAATACAGCCTTCTCCATTTGGATTTAGGTGGTTCATTCATTTGCACTCTTGATCAACACATCCAGCTACTGCCTATGGCCTGACTTATGCTCCTTATGTATAGACTGCAGTTGTTTCACTCTAAAATCTAAGACGTGCAATATCAGAGTCAATATATTTCTCCCACAACACAGACCTCTTGATCCTTCACTATTGCACTGACTTCACGGGCTATCTCAGAACGTGTGATCACAGCATGGGTAGGGACTTTTGCCAGGTGGCAATGCAGGTAGTCATCAGGCCTTGCCCGCCTCCCATTAAGGCACAGCAATTCAAACTGGTCCCTTCTCAGACCTCTGGCCCAGTCAGCTTTATTGTTTCCTAGAAAAAAAATTGGTTAGAAGATCCTGTAAACACCAGTAGCTGTGAGTTTCCATTCAGCGCGCTTGCCATCCTCAGAGTACAAGTGTGGGATTTGTTCATAAAGGTTTGTGTACGTGCACTTTTAATTGGATACAATAGGTGCATAAAGGATGCATTAACCAAAGGTCAGCAGAAAGCAAGAGGGGACTGAAACATTTAAACAATCAGAATGTATTCACATCACTTTGAATAGTGATCATTTGATGAGAAGATGCATCTCAATAGCCTAAAAAGCTTTGAAAGCATTACCCTAAAAGATCATGACTGACAGACTCTGTAACAGGACCTAGGACCATTCATAAAAGTGTTGCGTGTGAGTTCAGCTGACTCTGGAAGGTATAACACCTTAAGTTCACCCAGGAAGAGACCACTAGCCCTGCAGGAAGGCCCAGGAAACAGCCAGGTCTGAGGAGAAAGCCTGGGCTGAGGTTTATCTTCTGTTAGCGGTTGTTTGAGGGCCTGATAGAGTCAGACTCCAGTAAAGGGCAGACTAAGTGACATTACACAGACGACTTAGCCATTCTCTGCAGTAGGTGTGGGGGTCACCATCTGAAGGGAGCAGGATTTGGGCCCATGATAGCAGTAAACAAACAATGGACTCTGATTACAGTGATACTGCATCTGCCTCACACATCTGCACATCTGTATCCCTGATGAACTATTGCAGCTGTGCCCTTCTAGGACATTAGCCAAAGCTCACTGAGACCAAGAGAAAGACTTCCATTGACATTGGGTCAGGCCCACAGAGCACAGAAATAATGAACTAAAGGGATGAAAGCAGTAATATAGGGACACAACTAGGTGCCCAAGACAAAGGGGCAGCAGCAACTTCCAGTTGCCACATGATTGCAATCACACAGCTGCCAGCCGCAGCCATTTTTTCACCTCCCAGAGTCAGTACCTGGGGCATTTGCTCCATTCGCCCTGCCCTAGTTAAGCTACTGGATGCAAGGCTTCTAGACCCCGAATCTTCCTGAACAGCTGAGTCAGCACAGGGACATTCTCACCGGCATGACGAGGTGCCCTCCCTCCCTACTGACATTTCAGTTTCCTGTGACTGCTGACAGATCCAAGGCCTTGCCCTTTGCTGTCAGCCTCTTTGTTTCACAGGTACAGAATCAAATCACTGAGGGAGCCTATTGTCAAGGTGGAATAGGCACTTACCATCGGTGTTCTCAAAGACGGTTGTGTGCTTAACAAATGCCACATCCCCGCGCTCAACCAAGCACCTACAAAATGCAGAGAAAAGAGGAAACCCAGAGCTACAGGTGCTTGGCAAATGCTGATTGTGATACCTACCACCTTTTGTGAGCTTAAACTAGGAGGATTTCTAGCCCATTAGAACTGAAATGGACTTTTGGGGGATAGGTAAAATGTAATACCTTAACACCAGCAGTGCATCTATTCCAGCCCTGCTGACACTTCAGCTTAGAAGGAAATATAAAGCCAGTCCAAGGGGGAAAAATCAAATCCTGTGAATGACGCAAGGATCTTTGTGGGTGATCTCCTATTGGATCAACTGTATGGTTGGGATAGACTTAGCCAAGCTTCTGAATGCAGTGTATTCTTCTTTAGGTCTTCTTCAGGAACACACGGCATTCAAAAGCTTGGCTAAGTCTATCCAGTGGGTCCAACAAAAAGCTACCACACATTTTCTGGACCACCCTAGTTATGCTATCATTTGAACACTACCAAAGCCTATGACGGTTAGCCTTGTTTTATTCATTTTAAGGGTGTAACAATCAAATCACCACTCTCAGGACCCTCCTGCAGTTAGGATGCCTGGCTGCATATTTTAATACCAACAGCCTTGTGAAAGGAAGACCTCTTGAATGTGAGCCCTGAAGCCCTGTGGCAATAATTTCTCTGCCCCTAGATGGGGCTGGCGCTCAAATGATGGCCTGGCTGCACTCATCACAATATCCATAGACCTGAGCTGTTATTGGAAGACTGCAAAGGGGGACTCTGGGAAGGGATATGGCCCTCTCATTTCTCTTTTCGAGTCTCATAGAAAAGTCGGAGGGAAGGTTTTAAAAATCTTCCCTGCTTTCCCAGCAGGCTTTGCTGTTTTCCATTTAGTTAATGGGGAGGATCTAGAGGTGACACTCTTTGCCAAATCCCTGTCTGGTGTCACTCCTTCCCCTCATTAAGGGACAACTTCCAAGTCTTTGTAGGGTGCTCTGAGCAGAAGGGTGGTGTCTATAAGGCAGGGCCTGGAAGGAGGTAGCAATAGCTTAGGGTACCTTGGAAACTGATCTTCCCTCCCTCCATCCCCACAAAAGGAGCATTTTGCACTATTTTCAATGACCTACCGGAAGGCCCCAGCATAGCCAAAGTATTTCTCATGGCTGTTGGCTACACATTTCTGTGGTGGGAAGGTGTCAGAGCCCCGACACAGGCTGCAGAGCGACGAGGTAAGTGGAGACCCAGGTGCGCAGCTTTCATGGAAGAATTTATCTGAGAGGAGGAACACAGACACCCGTTGGGCACCTCCCTTCTTGCTCTTCTCTAAGCCTCAGTGAACCTCAAGCTTCAGGCAACTAGTCACTGTTAGGCCTTAAAACAATTTAAATTACTTGAAAACAACAGTACACTTGAAGAAGATCAAATAAGCATATCCCTAGATCCAAAGGTGGTTCATTCTTTAAACCAAACAAACGAACCATCACTCCTATGACCGAAGTACCAACAATCAGTGTCACATCCTCTTCCTAAGAAATGCAAACTGCATCACTACCATGATAGATCAACTTTTAGCTATCATTTACAATAAGACAAGTCTCTCCTATCAGAACAGATTAACGTTGCTGTACTCCACCTCTTGCCTCCAGCAGTATTTGGTACTGACTGCTTCTTCACACAGGAATTGTGCAAAAGGTGAGTAGCGACAACCTGCCCAAAGAAAAGTTCCTCCCATCAGGCTCATCATTTTCATTATATTATGCACAATATATATTATTTCATCCATGGTGTACGTCTGGATGATCATATTACCCATACATATGTCCGTACCTTTTTCATATTCAATGGAGTTGGCTGCATAAATAGACTGAAATGCTATACTCAAGCATTGACCCCGTTACGTTAGAGTAAGAACAGTTGATCACAGTGAGATTTTGCCCGTTGATGCCTTGAAAAAAGCAGCTTTTCTCACTTCCTCAAATCACCAGGAACAACAAGGGCAGACAAGAGCTGTGGGATGCCGCTCTTGTTCTCCACCACTGAACAGGGGAGACTTAGGCATCTAACCCTAACCCTAACACAAAAAGCCACTCCAACAAGCTGATACACCAGCAGACTCACCAAACCTGCAGCTCCCAGTCTGACGGTGAATCAAGCCCATGGGGACATTCCAACCGGCCGTTCTCCCAACACCTGTGTGACAGGACTTCTTACCCCGCAGAGTTCTCCATGTGATCCTGTGGTTGGACTTCTTTACAACAGCCACTGCATAATATGAACCTGTCACAAGAGAGAGAGAGACAAAAGGAAGGGAAACAGGAAATCGGACGATGAACCTGAATGAATGCTGAAGGTCCCAACCTGCTTTACATCTTCCCTTCTCTGGGAAAGGGTCAACAGATGGGAACATAAAGAGCACTTTGTGCTCCTAAAATATCCGCCAACTGAAAAGGTCACTGAGCGTTTTGAAGACTGATACACTTAGCCACACAACACTCCTCTGACATTCTCAACCTCATTACATTTTTCCTCCCAAAAAACTGCAGCACAGGTCTATTCTGGGCCAGCCCTGTCCCTTGATTACAAACCCACTCTTCCTCCCTCTGTCTGGGGAAACATTCCCACAAAAAGTTTTTTTATAGTGCAGGTCGGGACATTTTCCCTATATTCTACCCTTGCAAGTCACGGAACCATAGAGAAATAGCACTGGAAGTGACCTCAGGAGATCATCTAGTCCAACCCCTCTGCTCAAGGCAGAATCATCCCTATCCAAACCATCCCATATGAGTGCTTGTCTAACCTTTTCCTCACATTCCACAAGCAACTTTGTCACCAAGCTACAAGGCACATTGCCTAAAAACACCAAAACATCCTAACCTACTACAAGTAAATCAGGTGGACAGCGGCACTGTCAATGTCCTGCTGGTACAGATGTTCTTAAAACGCACTCAAGAGATCCAAGGAAGAAGACTATGCATCCCATTACAGAGAAAGGTAAGCGCCCCGCCCCCCAATCCCTCCACCCTGCCCTAATACATGCATGCGCACGCACGCACGCACGCACGCACGCACGCACGCACGCACGCACGCACGCACGCACGCACGCACGCACGCACGCACGCACGCACGCACGCACGCACGCACACACACAGAGTCCATGCCAATCTGACCATGGGGTAAAATTCCTTCCTGATTCCAAACGTGGCAGTCGGTCAGACCCTGAGCCCTCTAACCAGGAACCTATGGGTTTTAGTTCCAGCAAGAGCACTAGCGCACTCCAGTTAAGCCCCCAGCCTTAGCTGCAGCCAACACCCAATGCTTCTGAAGTTGGAAAAATAAAACCCTGACACACCTGCGGCAACAGGAGTAAGAAATATGTTTTGGCATGGGGGTGTTCTTCATGGAGTGAGGACACCAAGTCCTGCAGCCACATTCTACCTTTTGCAGTGAAAACAGCTGGTAGGTCCACATAGTCAGACACACCACACTACTTACAATGATGCTCCACGAAGGCATAACGCAGCCGTATACAACAAAAACTGGGCCAACCGTCCTCCTGAGCTGACCACCTCCATTCCCTACTAAGGAACATTCCCATTTCTGAATGCCTCTCAGGTCATGTTCTTTCAAAGGAAGAAAGGTGTTGGATTTGGACCTCATGCAACAGCGTCTGAGGTGAGAGAATACAGGTTCGAAACCTTCCAGAAGGATGTTTCCACCTTCCCTACAGGACAAATGGCTTGCCTTCCCAAATTAGACAAATGGAAAGGTTATCTTTTTCTTTAGAATATGTACATACCCTGTAGATGTCAGAAGAGCACTTGAGTTTCTTTCTGTATATGGGGTTTAGTCTATAAGGCATCTCTACCTTGCCTTCTGCCTGATTTCAGACTCACATGGCTAACTCTCTCTCTTCTCTATAGAGGTCTTCATCATTCACCCTTGCCCAGGGCAATGGCAGCACCAACCAGCAGCAGGCTCATTGATGCCTACACATAGGCCAAGAACAGTGGGGGAAGTAACATACTCTGACCACTGCTTCACATAAACCTTTGTGTGAACATAAGAAATGCTGCACCAGATCAGGTGTGTTACAGTCTCTGGAAGAGGCAAGTACAAGATGTTTTAGGAAAGGCAATAAAAATCCTCCATGATCCATCTGGACAGTTGAGAAATACTAGATCAGAAGCTATAGGTCTCCCTGACCCCACTCATTTATGTCCCTTGGATACCCTAACATCTACCATTTTGATCTGAAGTCAGGTTGTCAAAATTAATGTTTAGAGTGCTCCTTCTTCTCTTTATTATAAATGACAGTGAGCCATTAGCAAACTTTTGACTTCACTAAAAACTCCATCGCCCAGATTGTTCCTAGGTACACTGGATGTTAATGGACCATAATACAGAATTTTCTTGGCGAAAATGGGCCATTTATTCCCAACCCTTAGCTCTGTCTCTTGACTCTTCTTTTTTTCAGCTTTATCGACACTGAGTTTTTATCTTCTGCTCCTCTGTTAATCCGTAGTTACCTGGGTGTTCTGTTGTTAAGAAACATTTGCTTGTGTCATCTGAAATGAGAAAGAGGAAATGATGTCCGCTGAGAGGGAACTTGCACAGCCAGTTACATGGAGATAAGAGCTCGAGGATGGTAAAATATGGTGATTGCAATTAATTCTGTAACTAATCAAGGGTTCCTAAAGAGATAGGCAACTTCCCCAGCTTTCAGATCTCATCCTGGGTTCCAGACAGTGCCTTCAACTCTCCCAGCTGGCAAAGAGGGGCTCTGCACCATCTGGAAATGGCACCAGGGAACACTTCTTACAGAGGGCAAGTGTTTCCTGAGAGAGAGAGAGCACCAGTGGAAGAGCTTTATGCCAAACCTCAGTGCCGAAGCACCAAAGGTTGGCACCTGGGGCAAAGCCCACAGTGGTAGCCTACCCTCGCCCTGCCCTCAACCTGTTCAGATCCGGGGGGGCATACACCCCCACCATGCTTCCTGGGAGTGCATGGAGTAGCGGGAGCCACCCTTCTCCCATCCCCACACCCCCCAAATGAGCCACTCACGGCTCCATCCAGCACCCTGACTTAGCTGGGCAGCACCTGTTAGCGCCTCCTTTGCTTTGGCACCCGGGGCTGCTGCCCCACTTGCCCCCCCACCCTTGCTACAGCACTGCCAAGCCTCACCATATACCTTCAATTGTAGGCTTGAGGCCCCTCAGAGAAGCAATTGGTTAAAAGAGGGAATGGTGTGGTAGGAGCACACTGTACTCCAGCGTTAAAGGAATTGCTCTAACTTATGGCCAGTGCTGCTACAGTCTCCATTTGCCCTCAGGATCCAGACAGTGCAAAGACAAGGTAAAGCCCCCTTAGATTGCCACCCACTTCTGGCAGTGAGTTAATTGTGGCCAGAGTGGACAAGAGTCACTGTCTTCCCATAATTCAGAGTAAAATCAGTGCTTCTGTCATAACAAATCCTCATCAGGGACAGGCAAGAAGAGCAGTCTGCACCACACTTACTGCCGTAGTATTCTCCCAAAATGGGCACCAGCCCACAAACACCAGCCGTGTAGACAAATCCTCCATCTACGCTAATCGCATCCGCTTCACCTGTCTGCAATGAACACAATGCATCAAACTGGAACAGAGCTACTCTTCCTGCAGTACTGGGCTTTTTACAAAAACACAATCACAAAAGAGGTGGCTTATTGTGAGGAAGAAAAGGCCAAAGTTAAGGCTATTTGAAAGACAAAGATGCTGTGTATCCAAGCTTTTTCCTTAGTAAGTACAGGGCTGTTAATGCATTTGGTCACTGTTTACAGCTTTGGCAATGATGTGAACAAAGTCCAAGATTGGGAGTAATCTCAGGGTACCCATACATGACACTTCTGACATAGTAAAATGACTTTACTCTGTGGTAAAGTGAGGCAAACATATGAAGATTGGTCCTGCTATAGGGTCAATCACTTGAATTCAGGGTAAAGTTATGTAATTTTTGCTAGATGACTTTACCCTGGATTCACAGGTAAGGTTACCCCTTGAAAAGTATGTAGTAACTTTACCACACAGCAATGCTGTAAAGTGTGTCACAGGTCTAGTTCTGGCAACAAGTGTGGATGAGCTGGTCTTGTGGGGTGAAACTTCTTTACCTGGCATGAAGTAAATTTACTGTGGATTAAAATCAGAGATAAAGGAATAATTAATAAATGCATGGGGTTCCTGTACCCTTATACCTCATGCTGGTGTGTACTAGGTGGAAGGACTATCACGCTACCAACGCTGCCACCTGTACTGCTAACAGCCTCCTCTACTATTTGTAATGGCAGCCTTTTAGGGCAATGCACTCTATCCTTCTGCCCCACAAGAGGTTATGAGTGCAGCCCCTGATACATAGCTGGGAATCACAGAGCTGTACGTCAACCTTGGTCAAGGAAATGAAAGCACTCTGCATTGCCAGCTGAATCAGCCCACTAGCCAGAGTCCCGGTTAAAGGAACAATCAGCTTTTCTTTAAAAAAATCACAGGTCAGCAAGGCCAGCACAACGTGAGGAATTCCTTGTATCAGCTTATGCAATAGAGGCAAGACCCTCGGCTTCCATTAATGGCTGCAAGTCAGTAGACGTGTCCTTATACCACCCCAATGAGGATAAGCACCATTAACTGTAACATAACATTTCTTTGTCTAGATCACTGCAAGTTAGTTGTTCTTAAACACCAGTGTCCAGAAGAAAACGAGATGTACAAGCTGGCCAGAGACAGCTAGCCAATTATTTATTTATTCAGTTCATATGTGACCCTTCCCAACAAATTAGTACTTATTCCCATGTCACAAGATTTCTTTCTTTTTTCTTTTTTTTTTCTTTTTTTTTTGAGATTTCAAAGAATTTTCCTGCGCTAAATCAGGACAGAAAAAAGTCAAAAGCTCACAAATTTTCATGAACCAAAATAAAAATAAGAAGTGAGATCAGATCAATGGAAATGTTTATAACATGTCTGCAATTTTCCATTTTCATTTTCATCGTTTTCAGTTTTTATCCTTTTTTTTTTTTTACTTTAGCTTAAATTTTTAAACGAAAATCCCCTTTGCAAGTCAAACAAAAAATGGAATCTTTCGTTTAAAAATGTCAACAATAACTTTTGGGCAACTGCTAAACTTTCTTCCCCCCCAAGTCCAGATATTTGTGGAAACTGACACTTTCCCACAAAATATTTAAGTTTCAACGAATTGACGTTTCCCACAAATAATACCCCAACATTTCTACCAAGGTCTGACCAAAGATACAAAGGGGTCATATGCTGCTGTCCAAATGGAAGGAGAATGCCAAAGGAAAGGTCCTTACCAAAATCATTATAATGCATTGCTCCGTGGTGTACGCGGTGGCACATCCCACCCTGCCTCTGCTCACGGCACTCCATTTGTCACACTTTGTCTTCTCATCGTTACCAACCGTACACCATTTCACCTTTTGCAACAGGGGCTTAGGAAAAAGTGTGCCTAGGGTAGCAGCAAAGATAGAAAGAATAAACCAAGAAATCGGCTCAACCATAAAGCCATCGATGGGCAGATTTCAGCAGCCACTGAAATTGTTACTCTTGCAAACTCCCTGCTGCTCAATTTTAAACTCTCTCGTTTAACAAACCTGGGCCTAACCAAGCACAGAATGTGCAGGAAGGACGATGAATTGCCAAGGTCTGAGTCTTACATTGGGAAGAAGGGTGCTTAGAAATCAGCAGAGAGAGATTTGTAGGGTCTGCTTGTATAACACAAGCCATAGGGTTTTATCCAGTTTCCCCTGCACTTAGATCAATGCCTTGTGTTTGATTATAGGACATTCCAGCAAGGCTTTCAATTATTCAGTCTTGAGCTGAAGTTTTCAAGTGATGGCACTTCAGTTTGACTTCAGCTTAAGTCTGCTGATTTGTGGCAGTTGAGGCTCTGGCCCCAGAAACCAACTATGGAGGAATAACCACTTCCTCAACTTCCTTCGCAGCTCCCTGGCAGCCCCTCCGGAGAAAACCACAGAGAAAGCAAGGGCTTCTCAACCCTTTCCTGTGCAGCTGTGTGGAGAAGGCTGGGAAGTAGGGAAAGCCACTAACTGTGCTGAACCAGCATGGATGGGGAGGGAAAGTACTTGGCCTTGGGCTGTCCAGCAGCCTACTACTACAGCTACAAAGAGAAACAAAGAAGGAGAGAGCAGAGAAGGCAACGTGGCTTTCTGTGGCATGACTCTTTCCTTGGGAAGTTTCTTAGGCAGTGCAGCTCACACAGAGCTGAGAGTGTGCTGAGGATCTGTATCATAGTCTGGGGAAAGCTGTGAGATGTCTGACTGCTCATTCTTGGAGTGCAGCTTGAGAGAAGATGGACAAGAGCCCAGTACCTGAGACCGCATCATTTAAACTCCACTCCAGGAAATGCAGTGCCAGAGACAACTGTATGTTGCAGTCCTACTACAGAACACAAATCCAGGTGGCTCAGTCCAGCTCTCAAGTACACCAACATAAATCTCTGCATCGCCATTCACATCAAGTGGCAGAAAGCAATGAAATTCCCATATATTTTAATGAACATTGCTAAGGGAGAATGGGTCCTCTCCCACCCTGGGGATTTGTGATCACTTGCCATGGAGCCAGTTCCCTGCTTACCTTCCTTGAGACTCTGGATAGCAGTATAATACTCAAGGCCCAGATAAAGCTTGAAATCCATGAGGTGGGGGACACGCACCAGCCTTAAAGCAGAGTCCTTAAAGAGCAGGTCTTTCCCATGAGAGGAACTGAAGAGCTGGAACATAGTTTTGGTGCCCTTGCCATACCTTGCCTGCCACAGGGGAGAAAGGATCAGAAGAGCAGAAGTCAGAGACAGAGGAAACTAGAGAGACAAAGCAAAAGAGGGAGCAAAACAGGGAACAACAGAAGAGTGTAAAGAGAGGGTCTGGAGAGGGTGGAAAGTGTGGAATGGGAAGAAAGCATGTACTTGAGCCTGAGCCAGGAAGCTCCAGGTCTCATTGGCCTTGCCATCCACGCTTCGTGCCACAACAGCATGGGCAGGGACCCTGGCCCAGTTACACTCCTTGTACTTATCCAAAGGCTTCCGAGTGCCATCCAGACAGAGCAGCTCATATTTGTTCCTTCCGTTCGGGTCATTTTCTGGGAGGAACGAAAGTGCACAGATTAGAGCAATGCAACCGTCCAAGAATGGTCTGTCAAGCGCATATTTTGGGATGCCACTTAATAGTTGTCCCTCACTGGGACCCAAAAGAGAGACATCTTCTTCTGTGAGACAGATTTTCCCTCTCTGAGGTAGTGATGAATCAGTACTAGGGCATGTGGGACTGCTATGGGCTGCATGCATATATCTATGTGTATATCTATGCGTATATATGTATTTGTCATTATTATGATACAGTAATCCTGTATTAGGGACTAGATCCCTAAACAAGACCAGAGACTTTGTGTAGTAGGTGCTGTCCAAACACATACTAAGAGATAGTCTATGGAGAACTTATCTTTACAGGCAGTCCTCGACTTACAATGTTTTGAGTTACAACGTTTCGCACTTACAACATTTATAAATTGACACCCTATTTCAACGTTATGACATCAGTTTTGACTTTACAACACTTGATCCGATGCGGCACCACGCCAGCGAACAAGTTTGCTGCATTGCTCATCTCCCTGGAGAACATCTGTCCAAACTTCCTTGGACATTTTCTTTAAGAAAGCAGACAAAACCCCAGAAAAACCTGCAGCCAAAACTCCTGAGAAGACCCCAGCCAAGAACCCTGCAAAAAATCCAACCAAGAGCCCTTCCAAAAGACCAGCAAAGTCACCTCAAAGAAGTCCTTCCAAATCAATATGACTGCTATTTACAATATAAATACATACATGTAGCATATGACTCATCTATAATTGCTCGAGTACAAAATTCTGGGGTATTTTTGGTGAAAATAGGGTATTGGGCCTTGGTTCAGGAACCAATCCCCCATTTGTAAAATTGTTTCTTATGAGAAAATTGGTTCTGAGTTACAACGTTTCAACTTAAGATACGGTTTTCAGGAACCAAGTGTGTCATAAGTCCGAAGACTGCCTGTACTTTTATCCCACTTTAACAGATGGACATTGGAAAACCGAGGCCCAGAGAGATGAAGTGAGTTATTCATAGCCAAAAAGCTGAAATGAGAATCCATGGCTCCATCCTCGCTCTTAGGAGGGTCATACATTATGCTCATAATGTTAGTGTAGCCCCATCACATATGGCAACTTTCAGAGAGCAGTGTACTTTAGCTGTACACTTTCCTGTCCTGCATTTGCAGTGATACTGTTGTGGTTGGTCTCTGTGTGTGGCATGGCTTATGATTCTGGATTCTGAAGCCTATGCAGAATGGAAGGATTAGGATAGCTTATACCCAGTCCCAGGCTTTCATTCTCAGTCTTGTAACTGTAATCATGACATAGGACATTTCTATATCTCGTCAAGAAAGAAGCATGTAAACTGGACCCTGAACTATAGCTTTGTTCGAGAACAAGAAAGAACCATCTTTTTTAAGAGGCAAAAACCAACTTAGCAATGCTAATTATCTTGCAGTCTGCCATAAAACATCCAGGTCATACTGTGTCCCAGAAATAAAGGTGGGTGCACTAGAGAAAAAAATCATGGATGGGGTAGCAGTGAAAGACCTGACAAAAAACTGGAAAAATAAAATGATCTCACAGGCCTACCTAGAACGGTGGTATGTCGTACAAAAGCTACTTCTCCGGCTCCATCTCTCAGACACCTGAGGATGGAAGAAAGCAGAAAAAAAGAAACATTAGAGCAGTAAAGTACTGTATTTGTTTCTCTTCCCAGACCATCCTTGTGCCCTTTCAGACAACAGGCAACCACCAAAACCCAACTCCCAAGCATTTATCTTCCCAAAAGAGTCATTGCCTGGGAAGGAAATGCAATGACAGAGAAGAAGCTTTTAATAAAATGCAGTGAGAATCAGCCCAGTGCTAATGATCTGTCTGTACTGCCATGTGCACTATAGAGCTCAGTTTCTGATCTCTGTGTGGTGGTTATAGATGGGGGAAGGCACCACTGGCAGTGTATATCCCCTGGAATAGGGCTGTTTCTTCCATTGCTCAAAAGAAAGTAAATGTAATGAAACCCTTCAAATTCACTCATGTGAGGAGTCCCAGTTATAATAGAGGTGTTCCTTGTTGCAGTTAGAACATGAGAGTGTGGGGAAGGGATAGTCAACCAAGTAAAAATATGAATAAACCTTTACTCACTGAAAGGCTCCAGAATAGCCAGAATAAGGTCCATTACTGGAACATTTTTCAGGGCCTGTTCCTTTGCATAGGAAACACAAAGATGGCTCATTTGGGGGGGCACCTGGGACACAGCTGGCTGAGAAAAATCTGGCCACAGCTGTGGAAGAAAATATACAATAGTTATTAACACATGCACCCTCTACCAACTGCCCTCTCCAGGTTTCTCCTACATGTACAGGTTTGGTGTGGGGGGGCCCCGTGCATTTGGAACAGGGAAGAGTGGTAACAATGTCATGACTCCAAAAATGTGAATTCAAATCTTGCTCTAAGCCTGTACCTAAGGCTGTCCCAAGTCGACCAAGTCACAAACAGGGATCTGGTCATCTGGGTTGAGGAGTGAAAAGCAGTGAGTGAGATACTAATCATATCTCTCCCTCAAGTGCCATTGACTACCGAAATTGGTGTGCCTTCCCAGTGCTAAATGAATGGGAGCCAGCTATGCCAAAGCAGAGGGGAAAGCAGTCTGTACCCAGGCACATTGGGCCAGAGTGGTTTGGAAAAGGGGATGCTGCAAGGTTGGCATCCCCTACCAGAGAGAAAGTTGCATGGCATGCTCTCTGGTGTATGGCAGGGGTCCAGGAGGGACACATGTGAAGGAGAACTGGTTATGTAACATTATGTGGCCCAACTTCCCGCTTCCTTTGGTTTGTTTCTGGAAGAAATGTTATGTGGTTAGCAACCTTCACTCTTGCAAAAGACAAACCCACTTGAGTGAGTGGCTGAGGAGATAATGGTGAAATCCTAAGCGATGAAGATATTGCCTTGGAAATGTCCTTATTGGTGAAAAAGGAGAAATAAGAGACATACACAGGAAGCATACACATAGGAAGCATACACAGTTCAGTTGGTGTGTTCATTTCCTCCAAAGCTCCTCAGGAGACCTGAAAAACCACCCCTTTATTCCTAATCAGGACCAGTCCTGCCCACCCCTGCTTAACTATTCTCCCCCTCTTCACCTGGCTTTTTCCCAATTTACCTCTCTCAATGGGTTCATAGCGTGGTCCCTTCCAGTTTATGGCCCTACGGCGTACAAGTGTCCCAATGGGAATGACCCAGCCGGCAGACCTGCCCAGGCCCGTATGGCAGGATCTCTTGCCTTGCAGATCATTTACCATCAAGCTGCTTCCTTTCTTCACCACAGCCACAGCAAAGTAGCTGGTGGCTGACGCTGCAGAGAAAGAAGGAGGAAAAGCAAAAGGTAGTGAAACAAGGAAACAAACACTGGATTTTCATTCCTATGACTGTCCCTTCACACAAGAACCTGGACACAAAGCAAAAGGTCAAATTTACATTCACTCATCCTATATTGTTAAAGCTGACTTGCCATACCCCACTCTCAGCCCAGTCACAATGGTCATAATGGTCACCATGTTGTTGCCTGCAGAGTTATGTTGAGGCAGTTCATAATCAAGGAGGGCTAGCCTTACACAATTCTTCACACACTGTTGCACTAGCCTTGCTCTGCTATTGCAATACCACAGTACTGGCTGCAGAATTTCCACAGAGGGAACAGCAACAGTCACACACAGCATTGCACACATTTCCGTGGTGAAGACCCTTTTGATCACCATTCTGCCCATTGGAACAAGACTGGTAGTCAGAAGGGGAGTGCAATGTCTTGCCATTTTAGATTACATTTTAGATTACAGACCTGCTACCACCCTCTGATATGGAAGAAACAAAATCTCAGATGCTCAATGGAAAAGACATAAAGGTGCTGCTCAGAGAGGGAAGGTTGGCTTGGAATATGATTTTCTTCTTGTAGGCATTTTTATCCCTTCCGTGGTTCCAGCATGAGCTAAGCTCTGTGTGACCCAGCAGTGGAAGGAACAACTAGGAAAAACCATTCTACCTTTGCATTTCCCTCATATGGCCAACCACATCATAAGTTTCTAATGCTCTGAACCTTCAGACACCATGGAAGGAGTATGTGTGCGTGGTTAGGAGTGATAGTGCTTCACTACTAATGTTTTGGCGATATCACTGAGAGGCTGGGATGCCGTAAAAGTGGCCAATGCCTTTCTGTGGGTACTGGATTTCTGCAAGGAGTCAAATCTTTCCACTTTGTCAGCCCTTCCTCCATCAGGGAGGTGGTAGGTGTGCTAGTGGACAACAGCCCCTCCTCTCTCCTGCCTAGACCTCCCCTCCCTGTACATTGCACCACACGAAAAAGACATTTAGGTTAGTTACTGGCAGCATGTTGACATGGGGATGTCACCTAGAATTACACTGAAATGGTTGCTCTGCTCTAAACTGCAAATAAAACTGGTATGACAATGCGATTTCAATTAGTCACTGGGAAGGAACCAGTCCAGAGCCCTAATATTCAGAGAAATGTGAGAGACAAACCAATCAAAATTCCAGGCAGGTTAGGAAAGGCCCCATCCATTCATGGGAAAGAGAGGAAACAATGGTGGGAGTGGAGAAAAAGGACTGTCTGGAACAGTTCCAAAGTTGGGAAGGGTGATGTATCCCAGAGCCAGAAAAATGGGAGAGGGAACAAAAGCACGTCTCATAGCTGCTTCCTGACAGAATATTTTTGGGCCGGATGCTGAGTTTTTGTGAAAGGGACCAGGTCCATTGCAGTGGGCTGAGTGCCCACTTACAGTAATGGAGACCCTGTCCCCAAGCTGATGGCCAGACCTGAATGAGCACACATGCTGGGCTGAACAGTAATAGACAGCACCCATCTCTCCAGCACGATGTCCTGCCTGGTGTTTGCGCTTCCCTCTGTCTCATGGCACAACCAGCACACGGCTGGCCAGCACTGCTAAGGTAAAATTGCCATCATAGAATCATAGAAAATGAGGGTTGGAAGGGACCTCAAGAGGTCATCTAGTGATAATCCACCCCCCTGCTCAAAGCAGGACCATCCCCAACTAGATCATGCCAGCCAGGGCTTTGTCAAGCCGAGCCTTAAAAACCTCCAAGGATGGAAATTCCACCAACTCTCCAGGTAACCCATTTCAGTGATTCACCACCCCAGTAGTGAGAAAGCATTTCCTAATATCCAACTTAAACCTCCGTTGCTGCAACTTGATACCACTACTCCTTGTTCTGTCATCTGTCACCACTGAGAACAGTCCAACTCCAGCCTGTTTAGCACCACCCTTCACAGAGTTAACAGCTGCAATCAAAACCCGCCTCAGTCTTCTCTTCTGCAGACTAAATAAACCCAGTTCCCTCAGCCGTTCCTCATAAGTTAGGTGCCTCAGTCCCTGAACCATTTTTGTTGCCCTCTGCTGGACTCTCTCCAGCTTGTCCCCATCCTTTCTATAGTGGGGGAGCCCAAAACTGAATACAGTACTCCAGATGTGGCCTGACCAGTGCAGAATAGAGTAGAATGATTACTTCCCTGGATCTGCTGGCAATGCTCCTACTAATGCAGCCCAGTATGCTGTTAGCCTTCTTGGCAACAAGGGCACACTGCTGACTCATATCCAGCTTACTGTCATATTGCCATCACTTCAGAGTTTCAGATGACACTCCATGAAAACATACCTCTATCTTGGTTGTAGACCTCAGCCACAATGGGCTTGAGGTTATATGGGGAACCGCCTGCCTGATAAACCAGGCCACTGTCAAGAGTAATGGCATCTGCACCACTCATCTGAAACACAAAAGAGCTAAATCAGTAAAGAACAATAGAGAAATACTTCTGCCTATCAGCTGGAGTAGCTTCAAGTAAGTGAGGGCCGAAAAGCATTGAGTATTAAGAACACCTCTTCTTGTGATCTTTCAGAAGAGGCTCTGCAATGGCATGAGGGATGTAATCAGCAACTTAACCCAGTGAAACTTTGAGCCTTAATTAGAAAGACAGAACGCAAGAGAGCCCCCACCTGCCACATTCATCTTCACTTACACTAATAGCCTGTATGCAGTCCAAGTGATTTTGTTTTTGCACACAGGTAAGTGAGGGGAACAGGTCTTCCATGGCCACCTTCAGTTCAAGACATTTCCTTTGTTCTGCACTGGAAATTGTGCACCATCTGATGCTCTGCTGATGGTGTTTGATAGTAAGACATAGAGCTGTTGAGAGAGCAGAAGAAGATGGGGGCTGTTTTATTAGCCTTGGACAGAGGTGTAGACAGGTGCCCCACTGAAAGAATCAGCAGTTCCCCCTACAGATCCCTCTGTTATGGCTGTCAATCCCTAGCTGCTCCCAGCACCCGGATTTCACAGGCTGAGAATGTGCACCAGTTTCACTTCTGGTATCACCATATTAGCTAGCTCTGGAGTTTACAGCACAGATGGATTTGGCCCAGGAGACAAGGCAAGGGGTATTCTGAGTTTCAGCACTCGCACTCTCCTTAACTGGCTTATCCAGATGCAGATCACCAAGAGATTCCTACTAAACCTCCTCACCTCATAATGGAGTGAGATCCCAGAGGTCTCTGTTATAAGAGGACCAGCCTTTCCTCTCTCAGGAAAGGTGAAGATGCAAGAGCAAGATCTGCCCTCTGGTACCCTATCACCATCCCTGAATAACTGATCTCAGTGGAGTTATGCCAGTTTTATGGCATAAGTTCAAGCAGAGGTACAACTTCCGTGGTCAGGGTGAGCAGGCTAAGCTGAAATCCTGGACAAACCCATATTCCAGGTTCCTCCACAGAGGTGCACTTGTTTCCCTGCAAGGGAACCACTCTTCCATTTTTCCCTGGTACCTAAGAAAAGGTACTTCTGGCATGCAATGATGAAGAGATCCATGACATCAGGGCCCCTGGGTCCCTAAGGAGAAAGGTCTCTCCTTACCTCCCATGCAAACTTTATGAGACATGGAGGAGGAGAGTTCCTACCTTACAAACTTAAAGTTGTCTAGCAGGAGAGATCCACCTGCATGGCCCTTTTACTGGTAGGGAGGATGCTAGAAATGGAGAAAACTTTTGTGCATGGGTATTCATAGCAGTTTGCTGTACAGTGCAGTGTGTTGGAGACTACAGCACAGTCTTTATTCCAGTATTTAGAAATTAGACACCTAAGTGTGATCTATTCCAGCATACTTAAAGATTTTGATGTGAATCGACATGGGTATTTTTATATGCATTGTGTATCATCTTCACTGTTTAGGAATGCAGAATTCTGAATGAAGGCACTGGGGTCAGGAATGTTTCTCCACTTAACTGAAACACGTATAAAAGTATTTATGGGCCAATTAAGGTTGAATGAGGATATGTATAGCCTAGATTAGAAGGATACGATCCTATTGAAGTCGATGGAAAAACTCCTTTTCACATCACTGATCTCAGATGGAAGGGCTGGTATAGTAGAATGGGTCTGGACAGGTATTTAACTACCATATTCTAAGCATTCTAATACTCTCATTTCCAAAAACTTCAGTGTCTTTGTTGTCATGAGGTTTCTTTCCTCACATTGTTATGAAGAGTTAGTGGAAATGTCTTTGTGTGCAGGAATGGCTGCTACTAATATTAAAACTATACCGTGAGACTCCTGGAAGAGTGCAGATAGTCAAGCACTCCAGCGGTTTGCCTTCTGTGTATTACACATTTTTAAAGAATGTCTTCTAAAGAAACCTGGTCTGAGCTTTCTTTCTACTGAAATCGATTGGTTTTCCTATAGCATATCCCAGCCACCTAAGTCATGGGCTACAGAGAATGCTGTTGTCCCCTGTCACCCGCACCCCCTTTCCCCCCCAGTCCCAAAGCTATTGCTTTGCAGTCACTTACTCAGTATCCCGAACCACAGCACGGCCTGGAGGACTAGTTTCATCCTTTTTTGGAGTCTATAGCTGGAGGTTGCTGAAGTTTCTGTCATAAACTTCCCCCACTCTGAGTCCGCAGTGGCTTTCAAGCTACCTCTGCCCTTTTATAGAAAGACGTCAGGCAGCATTTGGAGAAACCATGATCTAACTGTATGAACGCTTCCTTGTTTCCCAATAACTCCTAAATCAACCCTCCTCCTCCCCCTTCCCCCCATTACATTTTCAGGAAGCATTTAATTTGCCCACTGAATCTCAGTGCAGATCTTGGTGGCAGCAGGACAAGGTGTTCTTAGTTTGTCCAAGAGGCTACAAATTCTCATTTCATGTCATTTGAGTTCCTTTTAGGCTGAAAATACACTAAAGGGGGCTGATTCCTTTATTATGGCTCTTTCTGCCTTGCAAAGCCTTATCTCAGAAAGCCACCCTGGAGCCAGTTCAGAATCTAGAGAGCTCCATCAGAATTGGTTAGTGACTGCCTTGGAAACAGCAGGAGAAACAACAGCAATTTGAAAGCCAGGGCCTTCTTAACCAGACCTCAAGAAAAGTTTATGCCTCAACCAATCAGTAACTCATTTGCTTATAACTGGACCATGCTACAAATAGATCCACTCTACCAAAACTAGGAATAAACTTGCTACCAATTCCAACCCCTTTTTGAACACTTCTAAGTCTCAGAGGAATCTCTTATCCTTGAAAACACTTCACAAGTAATAACTACCCTCTTCCACTGACACTAGATTGTATCTTCTTCTTTTCTCTGATATTAGCTCAGCCTTAGAGACAAAGAATATCAATAGGGCATGTCTGTAATGACAACATTTTTATCAAGATTTAGGTTAGATATTAGGAAGAATTCTTTTTACAGTAAAGGTGGCCAGAATCTAGAATGGGCTTCCAAGAAAGGAAAGGTGTAAAGGTGTAAAACCAGTAAAGGTGGCCTCCTCTGGACCCTCTCAAGATTCTCTGCATCCCTCTTCAAGTGCGGTGCCCAAAACTGGATGTAGTACTTCAACTGCAGCTTGACCAGTGCCGCATAGAAGGGAAGCATCACCTCCCTGGACCTGTTCATCATGCATCTGCTAATGCACAATAAAGTGCGGTTATCCATATTGATCACTTTGTCACACTGACAACTCATGTTCATCTTGGAGTCAACTATGACTCCAAGATCCCTTTTCCACCTGCTGTGCTGCTGCTGTTGAGAAGGTCATCCCCCAGCCTGTAAGTGTGTTGATGGTTCTTCTTGCCCAGGTGCAGCACTTTGCACTTGTCTTTGTTGAACTACAGCCTATTTTGTTCTGCCCGTTTTTCCAACCTGTCCAAATTTGCCTGGATCCATTCCCTACCCTCTGGTGTGTTAACTCTGCCCCATAATTTGGTATCATCTGCGAATGTGGACAGGGTGCTCTCTACGGCCTCATCCAAGTCACTGATGAAGACATTGAACAGCATTGGTCCAAGGACCGAGCCTTGCGGAACTCCACCGTCCACATCTTTCCAGGTCGATATCGACCCGTGCACCACCACTCTCTGGGTGCAACCCCTAAACCAATTTGCCACCCAGCTGACAGTGTAATCATCTACATCACAGCCTGTCAGTTTATTTATTGTTGTAGCCATAATAGTCCAGGTAATCTAAGGGGCAAGGATTTCTTTGTGTTATCTTTTATTGGACCAACTGTGTAGTTAGGAGAGCTCTTGGACAAGCTTTCAAGTGCCCTTTCTCAGGTAAGAGAGAGAGGCAGACCTATAAAGCACCTGCTGCCATTTGCAGAGACAGGACACTGGGCTAGATGGACCCACCTTTGGTCTGATGTAGTATGACACTGCTTTCATGTTCTATCGTGTTCTTCCCCTTCCTCTGAAGCATCTGGGGCTGCCTGTGATCAGCAGTGTGCCCCTGAACTTGGGTGGACTCTGGGTCTGATTCAGCATCACCATACGTGTATTTGGATGAGCTGCATTCGCTACTCCATTCATGACTTTCTACCAGCTCAATATGTTGTCACCTATTCATTACTTGTCTAAATAGACCCATTTTCCTCAGTTCCTCTTCATATCAAGTTTAGGAAAAGTGGAGGAACTGGGAATCAAGGCTCCTGGCTTCTCTTTCCAGTTCAAGCAGCGCAGAGAATTAGGACATGAGGCATATGAATAATACTGCCTGGGTTCTGTCTCGAGCTCTCAGAAAGAAGAGGGGTCTGTTGATTTAAAGCAATGTGAGCTGTGAATCAGGACTCCTGGCTTCTGTCTTTGGCTCTGGGAGGGAAGTGGATGGAGCTATAGGGTTAGAACAATGAGGCAAGAAAGTCTGGACTCCTGGGTCTTTTTAAGTGCAGTCTTAGAGCAAGGAAAGGGAAGAGTCAAGATCCTATGTTCTGTTACAAGTTCCAGTAGGGCAGGTACCAATTGGATGCGTCTACACGTGCACATTTGATCTGCATTAACCCAATTTAAGGCACATTAAGTGTGCGCGTCTACATGTACACACCCTTAATTAGCCTAAAATGGCAGTTTAAGGCTATTTGAGCCTAAATTTGATACCTGCATAAAGCAGGTATCAAATTTATGCGCGAATAGCTAAATCACATTAGCAAACGTGTAGATGTGCTAATGCGCATTAATGCAATGTTTGTCCATTGACTTGGGACTAACTTTAGTCCCAAATTGCCCCGCACACTCGCATTAAACTGCATTAGTATGTGCATGTGTAGATGCACACCTATTTGCCAGCTCCCTCAGGTGCATCCCAACCAGCCCCATGGACTTGTACACATCCAGCTTTTCTAAATAGTCCCTAACCTGTTCTTTTGCCACTGTTGGCAGCTCCCCTCCTCCCCAAACTGTGCTTCCTGGTTCGGTAGCCTGGGAGCTGACCTTGCCTGTGAAGACTGAGATGAAAAAGGCATTAAGCACTTCAGCCTTTTCTGCATCCTCATCACAAGGTTGCCTCCCCCATTCAGTACGGGACCCACACTGTCCCTCATCCTCCTTTTGCTACCAACATACTTGTAGAAACCCTTCTTGTTACCCTTCATGTCCCTTGCTAGCTGCAACTCAAATTGCGCTTTGGCCTTCCTGACTTCATCCCTGCGGCCCCGAACAATGCTCTTATATTCTTCCCTAGTTATTTGTCCAAGTTTCCACTTCTTAGAAGATTCCTTTTTGTGACTTAATTTACAGAAGAGTTCCCTGCTAAGCTCTGGTCTTCTACCATCCTTGCTAGTCTTCCTGCACATCTCAGTGGTTTGTTTCTGCATTCATAGTTAGGTTTCTTTAAAGTACAGCCAGCTCTCCTGGACTCCTCTTCCCCTCAGACTGGCTTCCCAGGGGATCCTGCCCATGAGTTCCCTGAGTGAGTTGAAGTCTGCTTTTCTGAAGTCATAGTTTCATAGTTGGTAGGGTCGGAAGGGACCTGAGCAGATCATAAGTCCAACCTCCTGCCATGAGCAGGAAAGAAAGAAAGCTCCTTGGTGGACCCTGGCAAGGTGATTATCTGGCCTCCTTTTGAAGACCCCCAGGGTAGGAGCGAGCACTACTTCCCTTGGAAGTTGGTTCCAGATCCTAGCCTCCCTGACTGTAAAGTAGTGCCTCCTGATATCTAGCCTGAATCTACTCTCAGTCAACTTATGGCCGTTATTCCTTGTTACCCCCAGTAGTGTCGCATAGACAGCTGGTCCCCCTTGGCCAGTTTGTAGATGACCACCAGATTGCCTCTCAGCCTTCTCTTGTGGAGGCTGAATAGGTTCAGGCCCTTCAGCCTCTCTTCATAGGGCCTGCCTTGCTGCCCCCTGATCATGCAAGTGGCCCTCCTCTGGACCCTCTCAATGCTGTCCACATCCCTCCTGAAGTGCGGCGCCCAGAACTGGATGCAGTACTCCAACTGCGGCCTGACCAGTGCTGCATAGAGGGGGAGGATCACCTCCTTAGATCTGCTTGAGATGCATCAGTGGATGCAGGGCAAGGAGCGGTTAGCCTGCAAAGCATGATCTCCCCTGCTGGCCCCTCACAGATGTGCTCCCGAATAATTTTCTCAAAGAGCTTCCCCAGGACTGAGGTGAGACTAACAGGCCTGTAGTTTCCTGGGTCCTCCTTCCTCCCTTTTTTGAAAATGGAAACCATGTTGGCCCTTTTCCAGTCCCCTGGCACCTCAGCAGAGCACCACAAGTGCTCGTAAAGCCATGCCAGGGGTCCCACAATGACCTCTGCTAATTCCCTCAGCACTCTGGGGTGGAGATCATCAGGACCTGCTGATTTGAACATGTCTCCCTCCAGGTCCAATATGACCCATCCACCACCACTCTCTGGGTGCGACCCTCCGGTCAATTTGCCACCCATCTGACTGTGTAGGCATTGACGCCATGGTCGCCTAATTTCTTAATGAGAATGGGGTGAGAGACATGTCAAAGGCCTTTCTAAAGTCCACAAAGACTAGTCCACCACGACACCTGCATCCAAGGATTTTGTAACCTGGTCGTAGAAGGCCACCAGGTTGGTCTGACAGGACCTGCGTCGAATGAACCCATGTTGGTTGCTCCTAAGCATGATCTCCCCTGCTGGCCCCTCACAGATGTGCTCCTGAATAATTTTCTCAAAGAGCTTCCCCAGGACCAAGGTGAGACTAACAGGGCTGTAGTTTCCTGGGTCCTCCTTCCTCCCTTTTTTGAAAATGGAAACCACGTTGGCCCTTTTCCAGTCCCCCGGCACCTCGGCAGAGCACCACAAGTGCTCGTAAAGCCATGCCAGGGGTCCCACAATGACCTCTGCTAATTCCCTCAGCACTCTTGGGTGGAAATCATCAGGACCTGCTGACTTGAACATGTCTAGACCCACCAGAAGTCCCCTGACTAGGTCCTCACTGACCCTGGGCCTGGCAGCGCCTCCCCTGGGTCCGTTGTGGATCCCAGTGGGGAGGATGCCCCAGTTCCTGCTCAGAAAGATGGAGGCAACAAAATTGTTAAAGAGGTTAGCTTTGTCATCTGGTGTGACCACTAGATTTCCTAGCGTATCCTGCAAGGGCCCTACGCTACCCGGTACCTTCTTTTTACCCCCTATGTATTTAAAAA